GATTAGGATTAGGGTTGCGATAGATAAAAATGGGATTGGGTTGCGATAGATGGATTGGGAATCAGGGAGATAAAATGGGATTGAGTTTAGGAAAGGGGGAGATAAAAATGGGATCGGGAATCAGGGCGATAAAATGGGATTGAGTTTAGGAAGGGGGTGGTTGTGGTTAGGATGATATGGTTTGGTAGGTTGTACTTAAAGCAACAGAAGTTGTTTTTAAGAGTTTAAGAGATCAAGAGTTTAAGAGTTTGAGTCAAATGCATTATAAGATAGTATAGATATAGATATATAGCTAGTTACATATATATATATATATAATACATAGTTTTTATTTATACTTTATAATTTTTATTATATATATATATATATATGTGTGTGTGTGTGTGTGTGTGTGCGCATTAGTATTAGAATTGTACCCTAGTTATTTAAATATTTTTTAAAAATGTCAATTTAAAAGTGATATTTATGAACATAATATAAATACAAGTTTCGATAAAATTTAAATTATTTTTAGTAATTGTAATATTATATTCAAAATCATGCTAAAAATATAGTGACTTCAAAAATGTAATTATTTTTACAATAAATAGTATTTCAAATATCTTAGACTTTGGCCAGATAATATTTCTAAATAGATGTTATATATCTTTTTCCATAACATTTTAATCTATGAATTAATATACACACACACACATAGAGGAGTGATCAAATGCAAACCACTCAATTTGTACAAACCGTGCAAACCTCATTCAACCAATCATAATTTTTTATTTTGTTCATTTTTCAATAATTATGAGAGGTTGATTAATCATTTTTATTGTGGAGGGTGTTAATCATGGATATTATCATCTTCATTATTTTAATTTTAGAGAAATACATGAAACAATTTCATTAAAATTTCATTAAGTATTATATGAAACAATTTTATAGCCATATATAAAATAATTTCGTCCAAAAAGTATTATATGAAACAATTTCATGAATTTTTTTTTATAATATTAAACAATGAAATCGATGGATGAGGGTGGTTTGCACGGTTTATACAAACTGGGTGGTTTGCATTTGATCGCTCCTCCATATATATATATATATATTATCCTTTACATATTATCACACCCTACTTCATTTCCAACATTAATATCATTTTCTCCTCCTCCTCCTCCTTCAAGGCGTTAAGAGACCCTCTGGCCCAACCCTAGACACTACGTTTCTTGATTTAATTACTCCCATTTCGTTTTACAGTTTATAGATGTGGGTTGGATTCCAAACTTCCACTTAGCAGGAAAGAATAGGAGCAAAGAAGAACATTAGAGAGTAAGAAAGAAAAAACAGGTAAGACCACTCATCATTTTTTTCTGTCTTTGAATACACACACAAAACCAAATGTCAACAATTAATTATCGGAATACGACAATTATTGACCAGTCAAATTCCATTTTGATTGTATGAAGGGCTAGAATTACTTTTTTACTCGGCAAACGCTAACCATGGTAAGAGTTATCACACTCACTTAACGAGTAAGACTCTCGATCTTTACTTAAATGTTAAAGATGTCACATTTTAAACAACAAAATAGATATTTTAAAAATACATCATTTAAAATAAAAACTAAAATACATTTTGCTGGTTTCGA